AAAGTCTTTTATAGGTTTACCATGGACAGGCTGCAAAGTTCCCAAGGGGGTCTCTCTCTGGTGTTTCTGAGCTCCCCTCCTTGGTCCATGTGGCTCCCTGCCCTTGGTTGGTCCTCATCCTTCCAGAATGTATCTCGTCCACTTTGATATTTCCCCTCCTTGGTTTGAAAGTGTCAGCCTTACAGATAATTTGCCTGCCTTTCCTTAAGGGATTCTGCGAGGAGACGTGTTAACAAAGATCAGTGGCTCAAGTCCATGAGAAATAAAGGCTGCATCAACTCTAATGGGCTGAGAAAAGTACTTGGGAAAGTAGAGTACTGTTTGTCATTCCTACAACTAACTAGGTGTGTGTGTGTGGGGGGGGGGTGTTGTTGGGGCTTGTGGGTGGCACTAACTAGGAGGCCAAGTCGACATCTACCTGTGGTCTGACTTTCCTGGACACGGCCAGCTGTCCCCACAGCCCTCCCACTGCATGCCAGACCCAGAAAACCTGTAGTGTGCTTTCACCAAAGATCAGATTCTTACATTGCCCCCTTTCCAAAGGGCAGGCCTCAGTGTTCAGTAAATATGCTGTTGTCATGTAGGAGGGCAGAGACTTCACAAGCTGCAGAGTCGTTATGTAACCTGCTAAGGAATTCGCGTGGGCAGCAGGCCCATCAGGAGGAGTCTGGCCAGGGTCCAGAGCCCTGATAAACTTGTAAATACTTCTCTGTCTGCATGCCTCATCCAGCTGCCTCTGTCTGCACAAACCCAGTGGCCACTTAACGTTTTGTCTTCATGGCCTCCCTCCTGGGATCCCACTTACGAACAGAGGGGATCCCTCCCCATGAAGCTGTCATAACAACTTGCACTATCATTTGTTATTTCTTCCTGAGAGCACATTGTACAGTCAGGAAAAATGAAATTGTCCTTAAATCCTTCCCTACACTGCATCTGTGGTGGGTAGTTTTTTACATATTTCCTTCCCTAAACTGCATCTGTGGTGGGTAGTTTTTTACATATTATCCCTGCCACGATGTTTTTCTGTGACTTTGTGTGTGTGTATCTTTCTCTCCGAAAATGTCACAAGTCTCCCAAACCTGGGGCTGAGTCTTAATCCAGTCTGTAGTTTTAGCACAGGGAGTTTAATTAGTTGTGTTTTCATTACACCAAATGCCTGGTGACTTTTCAGTGGTTTTGGTAATGAATATAATATTACAACCATCTAAAATTATTTTCATCTTCAAGTGAACTGGTGGTTAGTCTTGGTCCCAGATGATATTCTACTTATGAGGATTAGCTATCAAGCTTTTAAATGTGCGGTTGTGGGTCTTTCTCTGAGGATACAAATCCTTGAGCCCTGTCTAGACAGCCACTGGAGCCACCAGCAAAGCAGGTTGATAGGTGTGATTCTTTCCTCCTATAGGGATGCACTGAGGGGTCTGCATTTTTAGTTGTCAGTATTGATCACATGAGAGTCTAGATGACAAGCGGAGTTGAATCTGAATAGGGTCTTCCAGTGACAAGGTTTCATTCACATGGAGGGGAGCAGGGATGGTCTGACCTCTGACTTGGGGACATGTGTTCTGGGCTGTCTCTCAGACCTGTGCCCCTTGTCCAAAGTGCCTTTTCTCTTTGTCATGGGGAGTTTGAAATAAAAATATATTCATGTCACCTAAGCATAAGTCTCATATCAGTTGATTTTAAACATCAGACTGATGGATAACTTCTTTGATTCAGAATTTCTTCACATAGGAAAGCTCAGCTCTGTGCACGGCATTTACTCTGGGGAACACGAGATGAAGGTAATGCTAGGTTCCTGGTCACTAAGAATGTAGAATCCAACTGAGAGCTCCATCATGTTTTATGAGGCTATTAGTTGATAAGGTTGGGTGAAGATTTTTCAGAGAGAGAGAGTACATGCAGACTTCCCACTGTGATCATTATTCCCTCCAGGCAGCGGTTTTGAGTTCCAAGTCCTCAAGTCCTTTTCTCTAGAAGCTATAGCCTTTAACATTTATAATTTATAACTGCATATAAAAGTAACAGCATGTCTTTTGATGTATAGGTTGTCTTAATAGATAGTGCTAATCTAATCTTTGTAATAAAATTGTGAAGTTGATGTTTTTAATGCCCATTGTGCAGTCAGAGAAAGCCCAGTTTAGACTGAGTAATTCTTCCAAGACCTGAGAACTCCCCATGAGTTGTGCCATGCCCTCTGTATCCATGTGCTGCTGCTGTTTCTTTGGTGATAACTTGTGACACCGGGATGTCATCCAATGAAATACTGAATTTCATTACTTGCACATACTGCAAAGAGACACCAGCTCTATGAATTGACAATTTGAAAAAAACTGAAGGTAAAGGATTGGTATTCTAGAAGCTCTGTAGTGAGAGCTAGGTAAATAGAACTTAATTAGTGCCAGAGGGAAGACTACAATGTCAATAATTCTAATCTTTATGAAATTTTATCATTACTTTATGTCCCCCAAGGGCACTCGTATCAAGCAAAATGTGGGTTCATTAAGTGTTGAATGTGATACTGATTAGGTTGACTTCAGATTAGCTATATTGACTGGATATATTGAGTTGATCTGTGGAGGGCCCTGGGTTTCCATGGCAGGGCTTTGGGGCAGGTAGATCTCTGGAGATCGGAGCTACTGTGATGGTGGTAGCTGCCCCTGCCAGGAGACTCGAGGGGCTCTTCATGTCTTTAGGAGATGGTGAAGTCAGCTCCTGAGGGTCAGGAGGACTAGAGGCATGGCGATGACAGCTCTGATCAGTGGAAGAGAAGTTCAGAGTGAAACAACAAGAAGATATGTGAGGTGGTTTCTGATCTCAGCCAATATGCTTATCAGAATCCCAGGGAAATCCCTTGGGAGAGGGCCACAGCTCTCTGGCATGTGGGATAGCTCGCTCTTCTATTTTGAGCCTTGGACTGCCTGCATCCTGGTGATAGGAGGAACAGGGAGTTTTTCAACACTGGAGTCACACTTGGGTGCCAGCTTCATGGCAGGTGGGAGTGGGCCGTTTGGGGAAAATGATGCCCATCTCTTGCATCCCACTGTATGTGCAGCTGCTGTGATGAAGAAAGGGGTAAATGGGGCACCACTGTCTCCTGGGGAAGGTGGGGGTCTGGCCTGTGGGTCACTGGGTTAGGAGGCGCTGTCTGTCAGGAGCCAGTCAGGATGAGTCTTAGACTTAGAGCAGGGGAAAACAAAAAACAAAAAACAAAAATCCCTTTCTTTTTTTTATAAGGACTTAATTTTTCTTTAAAGATTTATTTATTTATATAAGAACCGGGGTACAGGCCAGATGTGCAGGAGGTGAGAGGATTCACCAGAGACAGAGCAGAGAACAGCGGACAGACTGATGGAACTACCCTGCTGAGGGGAGCAGCGGGTGAGACAGGAGAGGTCTGCCGCGTCATGTGGGTTTCTTGCCGCGTCATGTAGGTTTCTTGCCGGCTGGCCGGGATCAAACCCACACCGCAGAGGTTGTGGACAGCTTTACAGTGCTGTGCTCAACCGCCTGCGCCACCAGGGAGAACCCCAAAAAAACCCAAAAAACTCCCTTTCTTGACTTTCTAAGGAAGTGAGGCGGGATGTTGTGCATTCTGAGCTGCTGCAGGACTGCATAGGTGTGTCAGCATGGCGGAGCAAGCCCCTGCTGTTTGCCGGGTCCTTTGACAGGCCATAGGTGTCCAGGCTCGGGGTGTGATGGTCTGCAGCTGCCTCCCCCTTGGATGCCAAATTGCTGTGTTCTTTTAAAAGGAGCCTGGTTGAATACAGACCTCTTCCATTGGTGGGGAGCAGGCAAGCAGGCACCTTGTCATCCTGTAGAGATGGGGGCACAAGGGATGCTCATCCTGGAAGAAGCACCAAGAGTTTGGCCTTTGACTGGGCCCAGTAAAGGTGTCCTACTTAGACAGGTAGGGAGGACTGCAGCTGCTGATCCCTTGGTGTTGGACAGTAAATGGACATTTTTCACTTTTCTCCAGAACTCTTGTTAGCAGGTTTCAGATCCCCTGGACTGGGTCACTGGCCAGGCCTGAGTCTGGATACCTACTGAATCCAGATCCTCTCTGTTAGGACCAGCCCACCGCCAGCAGCCAAGGGAATGCTCAGCCTGTGTTTGTCAAGATGAGCATTCCCTTGACAGATTATTTACATTTTCTCATTTATTTATCAGAGTGTTTCCTTGTAGATAGCACAAAGGCAAACAAAGATGTGGTCTGCCCAGAGGGATGCATTCCCAGCAGGCTGTGGCTGCCTGGACTTTATTCCCTTTAGTGACAGTTTCTCTCTTAGTGGCATAGAACTTTCCCCTCTTCTACTCCAGGTTATCAACAATCACCTGAGGGTCTGAGATGTACCCAGGGGCTAGTGACACCCACCCTTCCCACCCCACCCCACCCCACCCCCTCAGCCCCAAGGTTACAGTGTACTGTCTGAATTCAAATCATGCCAGTGGTGATTCTGGTAGCTGATCTCAAAGGACTCAGGATATCCAGACATCTTGACCTAGGAAATTAACATGCCAAGACTTTTCTTCTCTCCCTTCCACTTCTCTCTCCCTGTTTTCCTGTCTCTCCTCCTCTCTTCTCTAAATCACAGCATGTACACAAGTGCTGAATGGTTATGACCAGCTGGTTCTTTTCTGAAACCAGAAAGGCTTTCAGTTGAAACATGGAGAGTTTAGATGAAAGAAAAATGTCACCATTGGTTGTTAAAATGTAGGAAAAAGAGACTCCGGTTTTAGATATCTTCCTAAATATCGGCAAGCCCTCTAAAGCCATGGCTGGTGAGACTTTGGCTCCAAGGGTCCTGCACAGTTTCCTAGAGAAGGTGTCCCAGAGAAGACACCAGAGCAGTAGCCATGTTTGCCATGGCTGGGTTCCCATGAAGGGCACAGGTCAGCACCCTGTGAAGGGAGCCATGCTGTACGTCCCCGCCAAACATTGTCAGTGCTTCAGAAGGTTCCTCCCACAGCTGTCTGCTCTCCCATCCCTCCCACGCCAGGTGAAGTGCTACCATAAGAAGTACCGCTCCGCCACCCGTGATGTCGTTTTTCGCCTACAATTTCATACCGGCGCTGTTCAGGGCTATAGCCTTGTGTTTGGAAAGGAGGAGCTGGACAGTGCCAGCAAAGGTGAGGGGCTGCTGCCTGTGCTGTGCATGGATGGCGGAGGGTGGAGGGGTGTGGCGAGGGTCACTCTGGGTTATGGGCCCCCAGGCAGCCCTGTTGCTTCTTTCTTTCACTGTTTTCCCTACCTGACCCTCCAATGAATTTAGCCTATTGCATAATCATTGACAATCCTGCAAGGGGGGGTGGTGGGGGCGAAACGGGGAAACGGTATATGAAATTGCAGATTCCTGAATGGTGCCTTGCTGGGGGAAATTTAAGGACACAATTCATCCATGCTTTTTTTGGCTTTTAATCTCCAAATTTGCTCAAATTTTTTTTCTCAGATGACCGTTTTCCTAATAATGGGAAAATTGAGTTGGTCTTTTCCGCTACTCCTGAGAAGATTCAAGGTAAGTAGAGGCAGATGCTGGACCAGTTGGTGGCTGTATGGTGAGGGGTGTCGTGAGCTCCCTGTACAGTCTCCAATCTTTACATGTGTTTGGAAATATTTATTTTTTAAAAAAGTTTATTAGAAGGTTGAGGCAGTATGTCTTGGAGACAGCAGGGCCCAGATGGGTCAATAAGACCCCAGAGATGGCATGACTCTCCCAGAAGGGTCCAGGAAGGGGGGGTATGCCTTCCCCCAACCCCGTTTGCTTCTATCCTCAACCAGCTACTAAATATTTTTAAAGAGTATTAGAAGTGTAGTAGACTGCAAATATTTATAGGCAAAATAGATTCTTCTCTATAAAACTATATCAATAGAAAAATCTGTCCTTTTCAGTCAAGGAGAATGGTCTGTTTCTATCACCCAGACCCATGTGTGTGAGTTTGTTTTGAACAGCTGTGGAAGGTAATCACCGCTAACTTTCACACTCAGCATCAAAGATCTAGGCAGGAGTGGTTACAGGCAAGCTTAGTGAGGTAAAGCCACTTGGCATCCTCAGAATGTCTGGTGGAAGGAGCATGGATATAGGCGCATGGGAGTGGGGCCCTACCCTGCCTGACCCATCCACCTGCCCTTGGTAGGCCTCTGGCACACATGAGCCCTGAACTGTGAAATGGCTACTGATCTTGTGCAGAAGAAACACTCAGCCCAGAACTGTCACAAGGTGGACAGAGAACCGATACTCACCTTTCCATCCCACCAAGAGATTTTACCTGTCGTTCAGTTTGTCCAAACAGTGCGTCTCAGCTCTAATGCCAGCCTGGAGGGAGGAGGTGGATCTAGGGGCTTGACTTCTGCACTTGAGTCTAGCGAGTGCACTAGTTTGCACTCGCTCTCCCACCTCATCCCTGGGCGGATGCAGAAGTGCTAGCTCCTGGTTCTAATGGCTGTGTCCATCCCACTCCATGCAGGATGTGAGCACTTGTGCAATGACCGTGGGGTGATCGTGGACTTCAATACTGCAGACCCGCTGATCCGCTGGGACTCCTATGAGAACCTGAGTGCAGATGGAGAAGGTGAGTGAGGTTACTTGGTGTCAGTTTTCTGAGGGAAGGGCCTGGAGCAAGGAGCCTGTTTACATTTAGATGAGAAGTGTCCTTGCCATCTGCTCAGAGAAACCCTGCTGTCTTCTTGGAGGTCCAGAACCCATAGTTGTGAGTTTAATGGCTCTTGTGAGAATCACGTTTGGGGAATTTGGGTTGAACTCTTGATACTTTGGCAGCAGGTGGTTAAGTGTCAGTGAAGTCACACATCCCAGAGCATCCTGCCCAAACTGTGTTTTTCTCAGTTTTCCCTCCTGTCTGTGTATGCTCAGTGCTAAGCGTCTGGTCACAGGCAGCCATATATTATCTTTGTGCCCTTTGGCTGCAGCTATCTGGATTTTATTTCTTCTTTGTGCTTGTTGCTCTAGTGTCCTGGTTGAATGGGTGCACCATTTTAAGGTCTGTCTTTATGAGTCTATCTCCCCCAAATCTGTTCTCTGCTTGCCCACTGAACGTGCACACGACTCACTCACAGCAGCATCGTAAAGGGGTATTGGCATGCTAGGTGGGGGCGGGAGTGTCTGTTGGCCTTAATGACAAAAGCCACTGGGACTGATTTCAGAGGGATTAGGACTTCTTCTATGACTGGCTTGCAGGAAGGGTTGTTCTGTGGGGTCACTCATTTTGTACTCTAGCTGGAGCATTGCTTCTCTGCTCCTACACCTGGAGCAGAGCATCCTAAGCATGTCAGCCACATTGACTTAGGCTGCATTTATCTCAATCTCTTTCTGTGTTCAGCTCAGTATTTCGCAAGAATCTAAACCGCCTTGGTGGCTGGAGACAAAGTGCTGATTCTTGGTGGCCCTGAGGCATGGCCTCCAAGTGCCATGTTAAATGTCTCACAGCAAGAGTAGCTTCTGCACCATATATGACCTGACTCCCTCCTCTGAGCACCTGCATGTATCCAGAAGCACCTTTTTCTGTGCCCAGGTCACTGAGCACACTTGTTCCATCAGAGGTGTTCCCAGAGTGCACTTGACCTTGCAAAGCTCATGTAGGGCTCTAAGTTCTCACCTGTTTATCAACACCACCTCTGAGGCCCCTGCCACCAGAGCCTGAAAGTATTGGCCTCTGGTCCTTGTGCAGAAGGCGCATGATTTCTATCCTTGCATGGCACTTATCCTCCTGAATTTTTCTTCTCTCTGGCTTCCCAGCACTCCTGTGGACTTCTTGGGCTGTGAACCTGTGCAAGTGGACCACTTCCTACCCCGTGGCTATCACCAGTAATTACAGGCCCTGCTGGGGTACCTTTTACCAGGGTACAATTGGCCCCAGGAGTTCTGGGGCCTGGTGGGGAAGAAGCAGGGTCTCAGCTAGGTTATACCAGAATGAGCTTTAGTGCTCAGAGCTAGTTAATGCCTTTTAAAGTGTTGAGGTGCTAAGACTATGAATCACTTTCTTCCCACTTGAAAGCTGCATATTACAGCATTGTCTTTTCTACTCTCCTCCCCCACCATCTCTAGTTGCTACTGATAGAAAGCAAAGCAAACCAAAACTCAGCAGCATTAACTTAGGCTGCCTTTATCTCTAGAATCACTGCCATTGTAGAATGGAGCATTCCATGACTGCCTTTAAAGTCTGAGTGTGACCATCTGTTTCTATTCCATCAGCAGTGAATTTGTTCAGATGTGCAAGCAATCCCAAATACCCTGTCTGCTTTGCAGAGGCGCTATCTCCTCCCGGGTCTGTGGTCCTGGTGGGGTGGTTGGTGGGGAGCTGGCTGCGCTCAGAATTTCCTGGGCAGCACACTTGGCCCTGGAAAGAGAATGAAGTGGTAGTGCTGGGGTGAGGTATGGCAGCTGGCCGAAGCCTCACATCTTAAAGATTTATTTATTATTTATGCATACAAGAACTGAGGTCCAGGCCAGAGGTGTGGGGGGTGAGAGGATTCACAAGAGACAGAGTGGGGAACAGAGTGGGGTAGATCGACTGAAATACACTGCTGAGGGGAGCAGCAGGTGAAACAGGAGAGGTCTGCTGTGCCATGTGGGCAGCTCTCTGGCCTGGGATCGAACTCGTGCTGTAATGGCTGCGGACAGCTTCATAGGTTCCAGGGAGGCCCTGAAGCCTCACATCTTAATTCATGCTCCCAAGAACCTGTAAACCCACCTTAAAGATAAAAGGATCAGTTCCTAAAAGATATCTAAAGTGAGATACCGGTTAGAGGTCCTTGAAGTCTTCTCGGCTTGTACAAGGTCTGTGATCACAGAGGAAGCTGCGTAGTTGCCCTGTGTTGTTCCAGATACCAAAGGACAGACACTGAAATGGATGGGAGCCCAGACCCATCTGACTGCAGCGTACAAGCTCTGCACTGGTCCCAGGCCAGGTAAAGCCTGCACACGGCAGAGTCCATGTGAAGTGGTCTAAGCAGAACGAGAAGTGATACCTCTGCCCCCTCTCCTCCTCCTCCCCCTCCTGAGACACACACACACACACACACACACACACACACACACACACACATGCACGCACGCGCACAGAATACTTGAAGCTCTTGGGGCTGCTTGTTCTTCTTGGTCCCCAGCCCCACCACAGCCTCTACTTGGGCAGGGAGGGGGGACCCTCAGTGTCTTGGCAGGAGACCTAGCCCGGGAGAAGTTGGATGTGCTGCCTGCTTATGTAAGTCAGTCACTTCATTTCCATAGTGCCGGCTGCTGGAAGTGTCCTGACACTAAATTAGCAAATACTAAGCAATGGTCTCTGTAGAATGCTGGGCCCAGCTCCTGCTGGCCTCTGTTCAAAGCATTTCCATCAATAATACACCACCTTGTTTTCTGTGCTCTTTCTAAAGACACCTTATCTAGTATTCTTGTTGAATCATTCACATCCATTGTGGCCAACAGTGCTATCAGTCCTGGACGAAGCCGCCTTAACCCACAGATCTTCCCCGGGAGGCCCAGCACAGCTTTCTTTTTTTTTTTTTTTTTAAATAATAAATTTTATTTTTATATTCCCCCATACAATTGCAAACGCCCCATTCTGACCCCAATCCTTCCCCTCCCGCCCCCCACCCCCCAAAAAGTGTCTCTGGTTCATAGTTTTTTGTTGATTTTGATTTTCACTTTCTTATATTCATTTTCCTGGTCCCTTATTTAAGTTTTCTAGATTCCTGCTACAGCATAGCTTTCTTGCTCAGAACACTAGACGGCACTTTAGCACTGTACTGAGGGGTCATTTTATTTTATTGTTTTTAAAGATTTATTTATTTATGCATATAAGAACTGGGGTACAGGCCAGAGGTGCAGGGGATGAGAAGAGTCAACAGAGACAGAGTGGGGAACAGAATAGACAGACTAACTGAAATACACTGCTGAGGGGAGCAGCAGGTGAGACAGGAGAGGTCTGCTGCAGGCATCGAATTTGTGCTGCAGGGGCTGTGGATAGCTTCATAGTGCTGTGCTTAACCCCTTGCGCCACCAGGGAGGCCCTCGGGGGGTAATTTTAAACAGAGAAGTCACCAACAAGAGTTGCAAAGCTGCAAAAAATGTTGCAATAAATAGACCCAAAGAGAGAGACTTCTTTGGTGTGAGATGGAAACAAGCTTAAGCCCTGCAGGGAGTGTGCTCCTGAAGGCATCTCAGAATTTTTGCTGCTCTGCTCATGTCTGCCCGTGACCAGGAACATGCTCCATGTGTTGCCAACCTGGGGTTTTGGATAAATGATTTTCAATGATTAGGTATATTTGTTGACATGCAATCATGAATAATGGGATCCACTGTGCTTGGTGGTTTTGTTTTTAAAAAATCATCTCATTGCTTTTGTCCCTTTGGAGGGACTGTACCCTTTGGGCTCAGGGACCATGACCTGTTCAGCTCAGGAGATATGGGAGCTACAGCTCTGCACCAGCTGCTCCGGTTTGGCTCTTGCCTTCCTTCTTGTGCTGTGTGCCTGGGACCAGTTACTTGACCGCTCTGTCCTTTTTTCCTCTACCTGTGGGGAATAATAGTGCCAGAGCTGCTGAGAGGATGCAGGAACGTGATACAGATAACAAGGTCTATTAAATGTGTTATCATTTCCTCTGAAGCCCAGAAGTGGGTGTGGGAACGGATCTCACAGGACCCATGAAGGTTTTGTAGCACCCTAAGTGGTTTGTGGGGGCAGCACACATCTCTTGTACTGTCAGGCTGCTAACATAACATGGCAAAACCATGTGTGCTAGGGCCTGTGAAAAGGGTTGAGACCTTTCATCTGCTTGGTCAGCAGACCAAGTTCTGCTGACTTTTGTCCCACCCAGAGCCCCCGTAGTTTCTCACCTTCCTGCTGAAGATACTCAGTGACGGGTTACAGAATGTGTACCAGGTGTCCTGCAGACTTTGCCTGTCCCAGCACTACATCTGTTCTGATGACTGAGGGCATGCCCACAGACTCATGTGGGTTCCAGAATTTGGGATGTCACCCCCAGAGACCATGAGCAGGTACATTGCCACTGTCCAGAGGGCCTGGACATGACAAGGTCAGTGTGTCAGGTGCCATTCCCTCTCGCTCCTGTGCACCTGACCTGTTCTTTATTTAAAAAACAGTCTAGATTGGCACTGGGGCTGTGGCAGCCTCTCTGTGGGCATGTTCTCTGCTCCCTCGAGGGCCACATTCTTGTATGAACCTCAGTTTCCCCATCTGTAAAATGGGGAAATCTGTGAGTAAATCACACATCATTCAAGAGACAACCTCCAACTCCATCAGTTCTTTTCTATTGTTTGACATACAGTTTTGCTTCTTCATGCATCTCACATTTCATCAGGGCCTCGCCGTGTCTCTGATGCTGTAATGGACAAGGGTGAGTTAAATAGTGGACCTTCTCATGGGGAAGATATGTGTGTGTATGTATGAATATGTATTTATATTTTATAGATATATGCATACATACTTGTGTGTGTATAAGCATATGCATGTGTAGCTGTACATTTATGGGTGTATGTGCACATGTGCATATTTGTATATGTGGTGTGTGTGTATATGTCTATGTATACTTGTGT